TATATTTGAATACAATAGCAAACAAGGCTAATATATGAGTCAAGGTTCGACTTTAATAGCCAAATTTGCATTTTTCAACAGGAACGACGTGCAAGAATCTACTCGCTCCAGAAAACGGTGACATAGAATATATATTAGAAGAAAATGAGAGAGATGATGTCACGATATTACAGGTACGCGTTTTTGTCATTCACAAAAGAATCAAGAAAGAAAAAGAAGAACATCACGACGTTGAAATTGTCCTACATTTTGAATTGTTCAATTATTTCAGGCTGGCCAGCAGTTAGAGTTCAAGTGCAATCCTGGATACCGTTTAATAGGAGAAAGATACTTGACCTGCCTAGACATTGGTGTCTGGGATCACAAGAGACCATCTTGCACGCCCTATGAATGTCCCTTGCCAAAACAGTGCGTCCTTTAAACATATTCTCTAAAACATTTAGAATAAATTATCACTCCAAAGAGTAAAATCTCACTCTTAAAGATTGAAAATTGAGTCACTCTTTCAAAACTGGCTCAATTTTCACTATTTAGAGGAAGATTCTAAAAATTTAGGAAGTAACCTTTTGCTTAGAGATATTTTTTTATTTAAAAAAATTACGAATTTGCCTAAAAATATGGTAGTTTCTTTCAACAAATATTTGAGAATCGTCCAACATTCTGTGAATATAGAATAGAGCATGGCTACATCATCCCTTCGAATTCTGATCAAACTTCCGTTCGCAATCCCGAACGTAACATCATCGACAACTTCTCCGAAAGAACGTATCGTTATAACGACATCGTTGGATTCTCCTGCCATCGCGGCCACAAGTTTCGCAATAATCATAATCTGACGGAATTCAAGCTGCAATGTTCCGCAAACGGCACTTGGACAGGCTTTGTTCCCGACTGCGTTCCGCGCACGTGTCCCTGGCCAGATCGCGTGGCAGACGCGAGAATTTTCTTCAAAAAACGGGATAACATCACGGTTGAAATTCCGATGGAAGAAGACATTACATGGAAACCCGATCGAAGAAGAAATAATGAGAGCGATGCGGAGAGCGGGATTTCTCCGGAAACATTCGTTTCCGGTGCAGAAATCGTTATTGTCTGTGATCTGGGATATGAACTAGTTGGGGACCGGGTCAGAACGTGTACCGAGGAGGAGAGATGGTCCTCGACTTTCACTTCTTGCGAGCCGCGTAATTGTTCGGTCGAGGAACATCCAATTTTTCAATTTTTCAAGAAACTAGGAAACGAAACCGCCTTAGAGAACAGCAACACAGACGTGATATTATTCGAATTAGACGAGAAACAGTACAGCAAAGAAAACGTTACGCATCAATACAAAGATTTCGACATTTTCGTCGAAAGAAATACTTATAAACGACGAATAGTTTTAACGTGTCGAAATGGCGCACAGATGAACCTCCATAAATTAATCGCCAACGAGACGATTTCAAATATAACATGGACGTGCAATAAGATCGCAAAATGGGAAGTTTCAAATTTGTCGCTGAAAGAATCTGTCCTGGAACAACTACTGAATGATTCGACAGACATCTGCGATAGATCGTGTGCACCTCCGCAAGTAAGTTTTTCTGAAAACACCGATAGATAACATCAGTAGCGACAGGAAAGAATAAAAAATTAACTAATACCCATTTCTACGAATGTAGATTAACTTACTCTTTATTTTTTTTCTAACTCTTTCGAAAAGGATAAAAAATAAGTTAAACTGAAATTTAAATTAATCTGCATTGGAAGAAATGGGCACAAATGTTTTAAGTTAAAAATAATAATACAAGGAAATACATTTCAGATAATATTTATGATGTATAAGATATCTAAAAGACGTTTTAGATATCTTTTAGATATGACATCTAAAAAACGTCTTTTAGATATTTCATACAATATAAATGTTATCTGGGATACGATCTATCTTTTCGTACAATATTTTCAAGCTTCGCATATTTCCAGGATAAAATTCCAATTAATTTCAGATACCGGAGTACGGATACATCGATAATGGCAACAACACTGACAACGTTAACAATCGTAGGACGATCAATAGCGTCGTCATTTTTAAATGCCGTCATGGATACATTCTTGAGGGTGCTGAGCAATCTATTTGTTTATCGGACGCTAGGTGGTCCGCTTTGCCTTCTTGCAAACGTATGTTCTTTCTTTTTAAGTTATCTACAAAGGCTCTAATGTCTATTTTCATCAATAGCAGTTCAACTTTAAGTCTCGGTTTAACTAACTCTTCATTTTTTCTGCTTTTAAGAATTAAAAAAAGATGAACAGAAATCGAATCAAAGTAAAATTTAATCTACATTGATGGAAACAGGGATTAGATATTTCTAAGTTCATATGTTGAACATTTCTAGCTGTGGCATGTGGAAAACCGCCGATTCTTGCTAACGCAATACTGAAGAATGACATAGACGGAACTCAGAATTACACTTTCGGCAATATGATCTCTTATCAGTGTGTCCCGGGCTATCGTGTATTCGGACAGGCAAGTCTAAGATGTTTAGGAAGCGGGAAATGGTCCAGATTGAATGGCAGATGCTCCAGTATGTATATGTAAAAAAATTTGCAAACTTATCATTAGAAAACTATAATACCTAAATTGCATTGTTATCGCTTGTAGAAATATCGTGTGGCAAACCACAGATCCAGCGTGGAATCGCGCTCTACGGTCGTTCGTATTTGTTTCAAGATCAATTGACATATATATGTCTCGATGGTGAGAAAAGGGGAACGATTACGTGTCAAGCCGATGGGAAGTGGAATGAGTTGCCAAAATGTGACGGAAATAGGAACGTGTAATTCAAAATGGCCAAAAAGGATTTAGTACAATATCTTGTAGAGAAAGAAAGAGAGAAGAATCTCCACCTTTGTAACAACACACATGCTTTTTTTTATTTGTTTGACCTCTTGTATCAAGACTCATGAATGTAATATAGAAAACGTAATTACGCAGTCTTATCATGAAATAAATAATTCAGTTTTGGAATTTTCGGAATAGTACATTCGGATATGCGACAATACCTTACCTAATTATTTATGCGCGATTTATCGTAATCTTTAATTTTAGGATATTGTACTTCGAGTACATATTATACACTTTTATCATCTCTTTTTTTGTTTCTTTTTACTGAAAAAGTTGGTGTATATCGATACAAATAATTCTTATCTCAAAAATTGGCATTGTTAAGCCTGCACGTTCAAGTAAGACAGTCCATACTGGCCATGAGAGATATTTCATAAGTTTAGTTGTACATTTTGTTCGTATTTCGTGCATAACGGATAACAAAAAAAAATCTAATTTTGTAAGAACGTACAACGGTGTTGTGGCTAAAGTATCTCTTATACACGTCGTTTGACACCGTATTTATGTTTTGGTACGAAGTATTGTTCAAACATACCGTACAAACGTATTTGCATATTACTATACTACCTGAGGAAGAACAATAAAGATAAATACTGTGTGAAAATAATTTCTCATATATAAACGACGTATATTAATTTATATCTAATGTCATAAAAATGGAGCACCTTCGATAAAATAGATCCATTAGCATGACTATCTTAAGGAAAAATCAGATTACTAACACATATGTCCTTCAAAATTATTGAGATAGAAAAATGTTACATAACAAAATTTGCGTTATCGTTTGTCTCATGCTAATTTTCATTTAAACTCTACTCCATTTAATGGAAACTAAATGTCTTAGTTCGTAGGACTGTCATTAAAGACAAACTTTTTCAGAACATAGCTATACGCGAATCGTATATTGACACGGATAATACATATCCTAAATGCTGTAAACAATTCCTCCGTAGAAGAAACAGAACTTTTAGCCATCCTAACTTAATTGCTTGTCTAAATTAAGGATAATCCTTCAAAGCTCCGTCTTTGAGCTGCTGCTAAAGTACTTGGGTTTGAGCTCCTCAATACGTTTGATAAAGTCCGTCTTCTCTATACAACCGTCACACGTCTCTTCCCAATCATTCAAAATCTTCTTTAAATCACGTACCTTCAACTTCTTCAGATTTACCGTATTGAGGTCGATTTGTTTCTCTGAAACAAAAATAGCAACATAACATTAACAAAATATTCGATCTTGCAACAAGAATAATGAGAGTGCACGAATGTTATACACATACCGAATCTCAAATCGCATATTTGAGCATCCCTCTTCTTTAATTTCTCGCATATTTTGTCTGCAGGCATAGACCATGATAGTGGTTTACTCAACTCACCCAAGATACCAGTGGCAGATTCTTCTAATCCACCTAAATAATAACACTGGAAGTACGTAAAACAGTTGCGATTATTTTAAACAATTGACCAAGGGAATCTGTATTTATTTTGTCCACAGGGGCTCATACTCACAAATCTATTTTCTTTTGATTTAGTGCCTTTACAGAATTCTCGAAACTTTTCTTCAATCTTCTTAGGATCACTTTTAATATCTGCTGTTAGTGTTTGACTAAATTTGTCCACAACAGCAACACATACTACAAAATTAGATAAGGAATGTCATAAAAAGCATGGATAAATTTTATATATAAGGAAAATGTTAGAGAGATTCTCACCTTCACAGTCACCTTCTTTTAATGCTGTAACAGTACACACAATTCCGAGGAATACAGAAAGTATTAACGACATCGATACATTCATCTTTCTGTTTTATTGAGTTCTATTAATTAAAATTTTTTTTAATCAATAAAATGTAAATAAATACTTATACAAGTGTTTTTTTTTATCGCATGATCGTGTAAATCAAAAGCTCTGTCTTTTTAGCTGAACTTCCTGCATTATTTATCTTTCCTCTTTTTTTCTTTAATGTAAAAAGAAAAAGAGGAAACCATGTAAGAAAAACCATGAAAGATAAACCATGTAAGAAGTTAAAAAACCTAAAGTTTCGATAACATATCTTAAATATGTTTACCTGTCACAAAAAAAAGACAAGAGAGAATCGATTAAAGCGATCTCTTACCACGTTATAAATTTTCATTATTAACTCAAATTAATCGGAATTTAATTACAAATATTCTAATTCACGAAATCACAACATCTCTGTTACTCTGAGCGTCCTCGAAGACGTTAAAGGAAATGTTCCAAGCTTCCAATTTCACGAGATTCCTAGATTTTGTGACTAACGGTCGCCGATGACAAAAGGACAAAGGGAGTTGCGAGAATATCGACGAAAAAAAAAAGCGAGATGTCAAATGTTGACACGTAAGTGTTTCGGATGGACTGGATTTAAGGTTATTTCGCGCGGGCGCGTGCTACGTACCGTTGCGATCGAATTGAAAGTTAGCGTATTTCCGATGCAAGGCCTCCGTCGTTCGGCAGATGGGCGACGCGCGGTGACTTTAATTCACACTTTCGACTCTTCGAAATATCCTGCGACACGTCCACCGCCGTCGTTCACCTCCGAGCTTCGCGACTGTTCGCGACACGTTGGATTCTGTCAAAAACCCGAAATCCCAGCTGGCGCATGCCGATTGGTCGTGACGTCACCGCTGTCCGCGCGCGCCGATTGGTCGTGACGTCATCGCATTTCGCGCGATGTGAAGTGAGAGGAGTCTATATTCGCGTTTCGTGCTGCACTTTGGCTGCACTCTCGCATTTTCTGCACTCGAACTGAAACGGTTATTCGACCGGACCGGTTAGATGGAAAGAAAGGGCGAATAATTTGGAAAGTGACGGAAAGTTCAGCTCGAGAAACGGAAACCATCACGGAACTAAACGGAGCAGCCGATTCTATTTACTTTGCGATCGCCATGTTTGCTCCAATAAAGTTCTGTAGGCATTTATACCGAAGAAAACATAGATTTGTCACTCGATACGTAAAAAACGAAAGAGAAGTATCTTTTCCGCGGCATCCATGGGTGTTCGATGACGAAAAGTGACGGATTATCGTTTCGATGAGCTGGTTATTCATCGTCACGCGGATGAACCGATATCGTAAGTCCCGCTAACCTCTCGAGGACGTCACGGAAAAGAAATCGAGGTAATATTCACATTATTGGAAATCTGCGTGAGTCTGTTTATAAGCATAATTGAAAAAGAAACAGAATAAATGACGGCAGGCACGCGTTGCAGACGGAATGGCGCCACGCAGGGAAGCGAGACCTAACCTCAATGCTGGCAGGTCTTCGAGGAGGAGCAACAAGGGCTGGCTGGAGAATTACATAGAATGGCGGCAACTCGTCGCTTTTCTCACCGATCCGAAAAAACTGTCATTAACAGTGAAACTGTTCATCGTCCTGGAAATCGTCTTGAATGCAGTAATCATCCAGACAGTGCCATACACTGAAATCGATTGGAAGGCCTATATGCAAGAAGTCGAGGGTTTCCTGAACGGCACGTTGGACTACTCGAAACTGCGAGGTGACACTGGACCACTGGTTTACCCTGCTGGCTTTGTCTACATCTTTTCCAGCCTCTATTACATAACTTCTCATGGCACCAACGTAAGGATAGCACAATACGTCTTCGCGGCGCTGTACGTGATCACGCTGATGCTAGTCTTCCGGATTTACGCACGGACCAAGAAAGTGCCGCCTTACGTTCTCATCTTGATGTGTTGCACTTCCTACAGAATACACTCGATATTTGTTTTGAGACTCTTCAATGATCCAGTGGCAATGGTGTTGTTATACGCATCTATCAATTCATTTTTAGACAATCGCTGGTACTTAGGTAGCGCACTATATAGTCTTGCTGTGTCCATCAAGATGAATATATTGCTGTTTGCTCCAGCGCTTCTTGTCACTTACCTATGCGCGCTAAGAATGTTCAAAACACTGATACATTTGTCTATTTGCGCATTGATACAGCTGATTCTTGGTCTTCCGTTCTTGCTAGAGAATCCGATCGCTTATATAAAGGGCGCTTTCAATTTGAGTAGAGTCTTCGAGTTCAGGTGGACTGTAAATTGGAGGTTCTTACCAGAAGAGGTATTTGTACATCCATATTTGCACGTTTCTCTGTTACTTCTGCACGTGCTAACGCTGCTGTATTGTGCGCCCATTTGGATCAGCTATATGAAGTCGTACGTGAAGTTAAAACATGTAGGAAAGGAACTGAAGCCTCAACTTCGTAAAAAAGAGAAGATAGATATGTCTACTGTAAGTCAGTTATTTGTCTATCCTCTTTTTGTTGCGAATTTTATCGGCGTTATGTTTAGCAGATCGTTGCATTATCAATTCTATATATGGTACTATCATACACTACCGTACATCGCGTGGTGCACCGACTATAAGACTATCTTTAAATTGACCATTTTAGGCGTGATAGAATTGTGCTGGAACACGTATCCGAGCACGGTGTTCAGCAGTGCAGCGTTGCACTTATGCCACATAATTTTGCTATATGGCATCTTAAAAAATAGATCGAATAACGCGAAAGAGAAATGAAGGCTGCACACATGTATGACGCATTTCTATCTTAATTATATGTAAAGATAGAATTACACGGTGCTCGATTCTTGAATGATAAGCATGCACGCATGCATGCACACATGCATGTTGCTATGCTTGCTTTGATGCATATAGTTTGACAGATAACTATGAAGCAATTATTTCTTTTGATTGGCGCATGTAAGGAAATAAGCTATGAAGTAACCCATAATAAATATAAAAATCATGTATGCAGCATGCAGCATTCAACGCATGAACGAATTCTAGCATACATCAGAACAGGCTGATGTATGCATGCTACCATTCAAAAAATCGAGCATCAGTGATTCCATCTTAATACATAAAGTTGAATACATATTCATATCGTGTATTTTTCCATCCGATGTCACTTAATGTCCATCGTCTCGATATTATATATCTAATTATTAGTAACTTAATAATTTGCATAATATTCTCTGTATCTACAAACATGCGAATACGTATGTACATATATAATCACAGATTTATATAAATAGACTACTGACACAATGCGATAGAAAGAGATGAATCTGATTCTGAGCTGTCCTTGTTTAGTTCCCACATGCGTATATATGCATATATATGCGTCCTGTTTGCAGAGGCGTTACAAGGCACTAAAAAGATACGCTCTAAGGCGCAAAATTTGGAGGGGCGCAAAATTTTAATAGGCAGCGCTACTCTTCAGAGTATCTAGAATATATGTATACGAAATTATTAGATCGAGAAATCTATGGTTCTCTGCTAGGTGATGCTGCATATGCTTCTACAAGTTTTCTTTTTACACCTGTAAATAATCCATAAAATGCGCAGCAGAAGAAAGATATAACAGAGCACATAAATGTGCTAGAAATGTAATTAAAAGAACCTTTGGAATTTGGAAAAGAAGTTTTCCGTGTAAAGAGAGGTTTAGGAAATAGTCTTACAACGGTCTCCAATATTATTGTTGTTTGTGCGATTCTTCATAATATAGGTCTACAAATTGATGACGAAGCACCTGAAAATGATGATTTTGAATTTCCGTGGACGGACCAAACCTATACATGTACAACTTGAAGGCATTGCTGCGCGTCAAGTATTAATTCTCAATTATTTTACGTAATTAAGATAATCAAAGTAAATTATAATAAGATTTTATTTGAAATATTGTGTTACTTAATAAATGTTAAAATAATAACTTAATTAATATTAAAATAATGACTTAATTTAACTTAATTTAACTTAATTTTTAAATATTCTATTATAATTAAGTTTTATATTGGTAGCAATTTAAATATTTATTTAATATTTTTATGTTTTCAATGTTTTTCTTTGTTAAATATATCACAATATTCTTTTTTGAGAATTTTTAATTCTATCTCAGTAGCTTTTTTTAATAACTCAATTATCTCGAGTTGCTTACGCTCATTTTCTGCACGATATTCTTCTGCTATTACTTTATATCGTGCTTCCATATTCAAAGCGTGGATTTCATACTCATTTTTATTTAGTTTCGCATACCTATTCAGTCTTGCATTCGCCTCATTTTGGACAGCTTCTGTCCGTATATCGTGCCCTTTTTAACTGCAGTGATTGTGAAGATCATTTTGTGACGCGTCCCACTTGATGAGTGTCAACATTTTATCGCCAACATTAATAAGTTTTATATCGACATCCTCCCTCTCAAGACATAATCGCATAGCCTCTGTGCTATTATTATTTTCTATATCTCGTTTCTTACAATCTATGAGTTTTCAATTTTTATATAAATTAACATATCTCTATTAATCACTACTATTTTTATTATATATATATAATAAAACATTGCCTATCCAAATACTGTGGCATACCAATAGTAATAATTGTTGAAACAGAAGTTATTTTTTGAAAAAAATTCATCGTTTATAGTTTCAGGAATATTTTTATCTAATAATTTTTATTAGATTTAATAATTTTAATTGTTAAATTTTTTGAATGTGTTACAGTCTGTCTTAGTTTAAAAAAATTAAACCTTTGGCAGAGTTAATTATTTCTGTACTAATTATTTCTTTATCAGAAATGTCAGTCGATTACATTTGGTATCTCAATTATAAGATGTGGCGCAGCATTAGCAACTAGTGGATCAATTAGTACATCAGATCTTTGTGCGCCACCGGATCGATGTCGGTATTGTTTTTCTGCTACTAATATTTCTCGTTGGCGATGTTTTATATTTTTCCATAAAGATTGTAATTGTTTTACTGTCGCCTATGTATAAAGTAATATAATTTATAAAATAAGATAATCACAAAATAAATAATTTGTATTTGTCTATTTAATAATAATAATTGTGAAAAATCGCTCGATATGTAAATCATACAAATATATAAACGCAGAAGTGAAGGCCATTTTCGCTCAGAATAGATCGTGGTGATATTAGAATAATATTTATCTATATATATATAGATTTATTTAAGAATATTTAACGTATTTTTTGATTTATATCGGAGCATTGATTATATTCTTCCGAAATTTTTTCCCATGCTTTTTCATTGGTATTGCTATCGGCATTTTTATTTTCGATAATATCACTGTATTTAAGAACAAGCTCCTTCAATAAAATTTTCTCAGTTTCAGAGTAAACTGGTATCTTCTTATTATCACACATTTTGTATTAAAAATTTACGAGTGAATACGATCCTCAGTTAAATCTTGTCTCAATCATAAATTGTGGCTCAATTTGTAGTTCGAATGAGCGATAAATCCAAGTTTTTTGGTTAAAACGCCCAAGTTACTTTCAAGAAATGTTTATGACATTAACTATGGCGTGAAACGTGAACTTTGGTTCAAATCTAGCTCGTCTGAAATGAAGATCAAACGCAGATCGATCTACGACTATGAATACGGACTTAGATATCAATTAAAAAAGAATTGACGAACAGTTTTGATTATATAATCAGTCTTGATTACATAACAAACACGTATAATCAGAATTTTTAAAAAACTACTAAAGCCAGAAAATATAATAGTATGTTGCATTAAGTGTCAAATACATTATTACAAAAGAAAATATGAAATTTATTGTATTCATATTCGTGTGTTATGCAAATTAGTGGAAATTGCTTTTTTTTAGTTGTTGGTTCGTTGCTGTTGGCGGGAGATTGGTGCTTCAGAGACTTAGCAATCCTTATGGTGGGGCGCAAAAGCAAATTTCAGGACATCAAAGGCGGTTGTAACGCTTCCGCCTTTTCGTGAGTATCGTGTGAATTTACCCATGTAATTTATACATGTGTGAGTGAGAGAACTCGAATATGTCGCTGCCTAGCTGTCTTCAATGTCTTCAAAGATGAAGGCGAAGTTGGCAGTCTACCTGTGTGTACAGTATACCTTTTGTATATTGAACGGAATAAATTATGTTAAATCCATACACATTTCTACACTCATCCATGCACTGAAAGAAAAAATTGGCTGAATATGGCATAACATTTTTAATTGGCTGCTGCAAGTCAATTAAAAATGCTATGCCGCATATTTTACCATTTAAATTGCTAGCAGCCAATTTTTTTCTGTCAGTGTAAAAATACCTAAATCGTTTCCATTCTAAGATGAGTGTGAAGACAATTTTAGTCAATTTAAAAGGACGATCATGTTTACCTGATAAATTATAGCTTGACCGAACTATAGCACATCGAAATAAATTTGTTATAGTTAATAAATATGTTTATTTCTATATTTTCAATGAAAAACTGCATACTTGTAAGGTATCTCCCTATTTGTGCAAAATAATACTTAAAAATATTGCTTAATTCACTCACAAACATAAAAAATGTTATTATATCCGAGGTAATTTTTGCAGATTAATATCAATATTCATTTGTAAAATATAAAGCATTGTAGTAACTGCGTAAATGACAGTCTAAAGTTTGATAAAAAATTATATTAATAAGCGTGTTAATTAGATATCTAGATATTTCTATACCTATTTAAAATCGATGTTTATATCTTGTTTTTCAAATGCGTTTACGTATATACGTATATAATAAAAATATATTGAATATCATATCATTTATGTTTTTTCTTACTTTATTATGTAATGCTGCACGTACTAATGATATACTTTGCAAATTAAAAAGAAAAAGTAATACGAAAATTTTTTTAGTGTCTTATATTACGGTAAAAAATTTCATTTAACATTTATATATCATTTTAATTGCGGCGAGTATTTATTTCGTAACAAGTTTTAATGTATTATTAATGAACGATAATTGCTATGCTGTATAAGTCAATGTATATCATACAGGAAGTGTAAAAAAAAACGAAAATGAAACGATGATCAATGGATAATATATAATATTCTTACAGTGCTTACACAATTATTATCTATGAACAAGTTCTACTCACTGATGTAATCCTTATATTGTACATGATTGGGTTATTCGTGTCCTACGCATTTCTTGTTTTTGAAATATTAGGAGCACCAAGTAATTAATTATGAATTATAACATTTATGTACATTTTTTTAATACACAACCTTATATATATTTTATAAAGACGTTAAATTATATGTAAAAATCATTTACTAATTTAATAATTTTTATATAGGTACTTGTAAAAGCAATGAAAATTAACTCGAGACACGAGTCGTGTGTATAAAAAAGTCATCGTGTGTACTAAGAATTAAATTTTCACATGCGAGATAATTAATGCAAATTTTTTTTTTATATACAGTCACGAAACTAATTACACAGATATTGCAAGTTTATTTTTCAGTATAGTATCATATTCAGTATATAGAAGAGAATTCTTTATCAGTATATGAGAACTCTTTCCGGTTAAAAATTGTTCATGCATGAATATGTATAAATACGTATAAACATACATAACACGCATAAATATTCATAAACATATATAATTTAAATATATGAAATATGTTCAGACATGTTCATACATTCTTCTTTCTTTTGTAAAATTACTTTTTAGTGTAATAAAAATAATAATAGTAATGTGAAAACGTAAAATATAATTAAAGGCATAATTCGCATTGTTTGTTTTAGAAAAAAACAAGTTTGGAAAAATGCAAAAAAAAAAAATGCTCATACATAATTATGCATACTTTTATATATAATTATACATAAATAATTTTGTACATTTCTTCAAATCTGATTTTTTTTAAAATAAATCGTGCGAAAATGATCTTTTTAATTATTTTTAATGTTTTCACATTAATATTATTATTTCCATTACACTAAAAAGTAATTTTACAAAAAAAAGGATGTATGAACATGTATGGACATATCTCATATATAATTATATATGTTTATGAATATTTATGCGTGTTTATATATGTTTATATTGTATATATTTATATATTATATATATTTATATGACAAATTTTTTACCGGGATTTTCAGTGATTTACGTTCATCTCTAATATTTGTCAAAATTATATTTTTAGATACATATATAGACAAATATTTAATCAACAAACCTATAAAAATAATCGCGAAATTAATTAACGGACTAACAAAAATAACATCGAGAGAGAGAGAAGAAAATATAATATTAAACAATATATTGAATTTTAATAGCGCGTGAGACCACTCTTAATAACAATATTTAGTCTGCTTGGAATTGTTTCCACAAGTTTATTCGGATAACTTCAAGATTAATGTTTTTCCAAGCTTCTAGGATGACTTTTTCCAATTCCCCATGATTCCGAGGTTTCGATTTTCGGACTTCTGACTTAAGAACTTGCCTCAAATGCTCAATAGAGTTCAAGTCCGGACACTGGCAAGGCCAAGCTATGTTAATCTTATTTATTTTTAAAAAATTCCTGTGCACGACGAGAGCATTATGCTTTGGATCGTATCTTACTGCATGATTCAATTCCAGCTATACGAGCCGACTTTTTTAAAAATTACGCTCTCAAATTTCTACGTACATATTTGTACGTTGAAGTTGATTCATTGTACCATTGATAAATTCAAGTTTTCTCACTCCAGAAGATGCCACAGAAGAGAGATTTTCCACCACCATATTTTACAATAGGAATTAGATTTCGGATTTTAATAGCTTCTCTGATTTTACGGTAAATTTTTTTCTTTCCATCAGATTCAAACAATTTAATTTTTTATTCATCTG